TTAGATTTAATAATGAAGTCATTTATTTTTAGTTTAATAATATAATTCTTTTATAAAGATAATATTTAGTATTTTGAATTCAATGGTTATACTAAATATATTTTAGATTTTTTATATTTAAAATGAGATACTTATCCCTAATTTGATTATGTGTATTTGTAGCTAGTTACACAAATTCAAACATGGAGTCTTAATAAGTTGTACTTATGCACAATCTACTTGCAATCTTGAGTTGTAAGTAATATACATTAATAAACAGTATTTTACGCATAAAAAATGGTTTTTAAGAGTTTTTATCAAATGCTTTATAATATAGTATAAATATAGACATATGCGTTAAAGATATAACGGATGATGCATAATAAGGTTAACTTTTAATTTTTTAAAATAAATCATTTAATTATAAAAACGTTAAATAACGATACTTTGGTGACATTGACAATAAAATGGTCAAAAAAACAAAAAATACCCTAACTTATATTTGTTAATTGAGAAATTGATTCAAATAATCATATTTTACAACCAAATAAACCTCCTAACTATTTTTCTTTGGATTTTACTCAAAAGTTATTAGGTATGTAATATCCATATGCGTAATTATTCCGGACCCATTAAGGGTGCGTTTGGTACGTGGAATATGGTGGAACAGGACAGGACAGGACACACTTGTCCCACGTTTGGTGTGTTTTTAAGTGGAACTAACTGGAACTAACTTGCACACACATGGGACACTGGTGTTCACCCTTTACCCCTGAAACTAAGTGGAACAGGCTTTTTTTACTAATATACCCTCCATCGCACTCGCTCCTCCATGCTCAGACCCTCCATCGCACTCGCTCCTCCATGCTCAGACTACCCTCCATCGCACTCGCTCCTCCATGCTCAGACTGCCTCCATCGCACCCTCATCGTGCATCCTTCCCCATCGGCGACGGCGACGGCGACGGGAGGTTTGAATCGATTTCCTTCTCTATCGCACCCTCCTTCTCCTTCATCAGGTACATGATTTCCTTCTCCATCGCTATGTTTGAATCGATTTAGGTTTTGCTAAGCTTGAATCGATTTAGGGTTTGCTAGGTTTGAATCGATTTAGGGTTTGCTTTGCTTGAATCGATTTAGGGTTTGCTGGTTGTAATGCTTGAATCGATTTAGGGTTTGAATCGATTTATGGATCTGTTTGCTGTAAAATTGGGTTTTGATCAAAATTTGTCACTGTAAAATTGATTGAAGTTGTATAAAGTCGATTTAGGGTTTCAATAATTTAATAATTGATCTGAATCGATTTAGGGTTTGCTGTAAAATTGATTGTCACAGTCGAAATTTGTCACTGTAAATTTGTCACTGTAAAATCGATTTAGGGTTTGAAATTTGTCAGTGTAAAATTGGGTTTTGATCATGGTGGTTAGAATTCTAGGATTGACTCAGTAGGGGTAAATTGATCATTTTAACCAGTTCTGTCCAGTCCTATCATGTCTTACCAAACGCTGAACAGCTGTCTCGTCCTGTCCCGTCCTGTCTGCGTACCAAACGCACCCTAAATGACAAAAAATCATCGTTTTTAGGTCAAATCTGTAACCATCGGTCATTAACTATCACGGATCCGGCTTAAAACTCCTTTTCCTATCCATGGATTTTGGTTTTGGCCCAAAATTCTGTAGTTATTTCCATATTTTTAATTAAATTAGCTTGATTTTAATAAAAGATATATTGAGATTGTAGGTCAAATATATGAATTTTTGATTCTTCATCATTTCAATATTATTAGTAAATGCCAGAGGATTCGCATACGTGCTTACCACCTCCAATTTTCATAAGTAATAAATAAGTTGAAAATTTCAATACAAAATCATAAATTAAATAATTGCTGCCTCTTTTCTAAAAAAAATTAAAAAAAAAGATATAATCAATTTATAAATTTAGTCTCCGATTACATTAGTTGTTTCTATCGTTTGTTTAAATTTGGGATTTGTTCTCTAAAATAAACTATCTACAGTAATTGTTCCAACTTTTCAATTTTATAATACTCATAACCCCTTAAATTAATTTCGCCATTTAGCAATTGTAAGGAGAAGTAAATCAATTTTTTAGAAAAACTATAGGGACTAATCATTCTAAAAGTAATTATGAATAAAACCATTTTTTTATTTAAATTTTTTAAACTACAATTAACCTAAGATAGTTATATATTAAAATTTATTTGTTAAAATAAATAATATAGATAATCATATTTTAAAAGTTAAAATATTGTAAGACATTATTAAATTGAGTTATCAAATACTTGTGAATAAGCATAATTAAATTGATATAACAATCGAAATATTTTTTTTAATCGTACTTATACTATATTTAATAAATAATTTGAATTATAATTAATTTTAAGAGTAATTACATTTTTGGTCCCTATAGTTTGTCTAAAGATTGGTTTATCCTTCTTAACGTTTAACGGTATTAACTTCAGAAATCTTGAGTGTTATAAAATTGAAAACTTAAGAACCATCAATATAGATAATTTGTTATAAGGACCAAATCCAAAATTTGAACAAACCAGAGTGTATTCTTTAGATATATTGTTTTAATTCAACTAATAAAATTCACAAAATAAACCGCTTTAATTCTAATGTTTTCATCGTATAAAACAAAGATATAGTCTTTGACATATATATGTATTTTGTTACTAAGCAAAAATTCACCATTTAAATTACAAAAAAATTAAAAAAAACTTTAGATTGAATGCATTGTAAGAGGGCCAAATACTTGAATAAATTGATAATTTCCATCATATCCATGTTGCTGATTTACAAAACGTATTCGAAAATTATCATCCACCAATCCTTCATCATCATCATCATCATCATCTCCCCTCCAAAAGCTCCCAAATCCAAACTCACCCTTCTTGTACATTTCCGATAACACCTTCTCAACTTCCTCCATGCAACCATCCCGCCGCAAATCCTCCACCATAATCCTCCGCCGTGGCTGTGGCCGCTGCCGCCCAATAACCGCTGCTGCACAACGAGCCACTCTCCTTCGTATTCCAAACTTCCTCTTCATGTATTCCTTTGTTTTTCTGAAAAGTTTGGTTGGAAGTTTGAGTAAAAGAAAGACGAGGATCTGCAAGATCAAGCATTGGCAGCAACACGATAACACGAAGCAATCAGCCGCGATCATGTTCCAATCTTGTCGTTTGTCGTCCATGGATGGGGATCGGGATCAGGAGGATAGAGAAAGTGGGGATAGCTAGAGAGAGAAAGAAGAGTAATTATGAAAATCATAACTTGTAATGTATGATGGAATAATAGTTGGTTGCTTCTTGTGTTTGGCCAGAAGAGAGAAGGTGGTGAAAATGGGAAGGTGTGAAGCAATGAGATAGTTGAAGCTGCAAAGGTACATATAAAAATAAGGTGGTAATGTCAAATGCTTAATCACTTGCAACGCACTTTACTTCGTTCATATGGAGCAGTGGAAACCAAGAAACAAACAATAACGATAAATTAGTTGATAACTGATAAACTAGTTGGTAGTTAATTAATAAATTAACTGATAAATAAATTATGTTCGGTAAAAACTAATTTATAAACATGTAAAATGATCATGATGAACAAATAACGTTTGACAAAAACTAGTTTAAAGAACACCTTGAAACAAGAGTCAATTACGAATATTTCATAATATAATTAAAATAAATATCTAATAATATAATATATAACTAATACAAACAATTAAGATAATAAAGAAAAAAAATTAAATTAATATAAAATATGTTAATCAAAATATTATATATATACTATATATTTTAAATTTGTTAAAACAAGTTTTAGAAAATAAGTGGTTGTTTGTTTAACTCTTAATAGTTCCATTAAGAGACAGATCTGAATCGTTAAGAGGTAAATCTTTTTTGGTAAAAAAAGAGTTTGTTTCTTAATGGTTCTAAAACTCTCCGAATGATTTTGTATCTTAGGCCTCCCTTAACCATTAAACGTCATGATTTCATTATAAACAATTATATTTCATTTTGTACTATATCATAAGAGCCTCTTAATCATTCAGCACCAAACCATTCAGCAACTATCAAACATAATTGCTTTACTTTTGAGGCCAAATTTATGGTCGCCCCTTATCATGGATATATTTTAGGTTTTGTTTGGTCCATGTTTTTTTTTAATCTTTTGTTTTGAACAAACTCATTTACTGTCCATTCCTCTTTATCTTTTTATTTATTTTCTTTAATTTCAGAAATTAATTAAAATAGTCATTTCAGGCTTGTAGTTATGGCCTACTTAAAAGAATACGATAAGACATGTATTTCTTGATATTGTATTTGATGTAGTTGTTCGAATTCCTTATGATATGCAACTGAAACAAGTTCTTGCAAATGGCTCACACGGGTCGGATTATCCCCAAATTTTACCATCATGTAAATCAACAAACCACTTAAAGAAAACCATATTGATCCTAAAAAGTCAAAAAGCCCATGTATTTTGCCAAAACTAGAGACCAAGTTGCTTAATGTGTTACAAGAAGTCGCTTCAAAACTCTAAATATCTTGAAACAACTTTGGGATAATAGCAGGATGCCAAGCTGATAGACCAAGTCAGCATTAAGGGTGCTTAAATAAAGATTGAATCAAATCAAAGGATGATGGTTCTTGGCCGCAAAAGGGAAAACCTCTGATTAGTTTAGTTTCTTTGCCAACCTTGAATTTCTTCTGGCAATGACCTCAGCAGCCCAACTCTTGCCGATTTCGGTTTGAAACTTCCCTGCAAACAGTATAATACATAAAATACCTACCAATATTCATAATTTTCACTTTTCCAACAAAAAAACAAGAATCCATCGATCTTACCAGCTGTCGAGAGAAAAAATTCGTCCAAGACTTTGTCGTGTTCTGCAATAATGTTGTAATACCAGAATCTCAGAACGTAACAAGATAAACAAATGGATTTATTTCCTCTTTAAGTGTATTTCAGGGGGACATATAGTAGGCAAAGAACATGGGGCGTGAATTTTTAACAAGATATATATAGGAGCCCCTACTTTCTGATTGGATATGTAAATTGATTTCAAAGGGCAATTGGGTCACATTTCAAGCTTCAAAATTTATGAGATTCTTCAACTTGTGGGAAAATATGTGGTAAGTCATAAGCTTTCTAGCAAGAAATATACTAGACTAAACTTGATGCTAAATTTTGCAAGAAAATACGTGTAATGTTGTGTTTCGAAAGGATTAAGTTTGACATCATAAGAGCGTGTCGTTTTGGGGTCAAAAGAATAACACAGTGTGCTCTGTTCTTAACAGGATGGTATTCTTTCCAAACAGAAGGCCATAGAATAACAAGCTGCTAGGGTACAATCTTTTCACAGAAAATGCCATAAAGAATTTGATAAGCACGAATGAATTCTCGAAAACTTCCTTTTTGTTTATATCCTAATGTATAATTTTTTATATATAAAACAAAGGGGAGATAAAGGAGGCATTAAAGCATAGTGGGGAGGTAAAATCAAGAGAACAACCGCTACACGACCACTGTTTTTGTCGACCGTCTTCTCCATATGTCCTTGTTTAATCTTTTTTCATGGTTGTGCTCTAACCGTTCTACTTGCTCTGCAGTTACTCTTCTAAACCCATTTATCATCTCTTTAGCATACTTTCAGGGTTGCTTCCAGGAAAAAAAAAATCACAAATTTTTTCTTTTTCTGAAAGCTGAGGGTTTTAAAGGAAACAACCACTCTATTCGATGGGGTAGAGGTAAGCTCTGCAGACAATGTACCCTCCCAAGACCATATTTCGTGTGGGATTTACTAGGCTCGTTTGATTTGGTTTGGTTTATATAGGTTTCTTACTAAGATTCCACCTATAATTGTAAGCTGACAATAGAGATATCCCTGTTAAATGACTATTTTTTATCGTGTAAAGAAGTGATTTTTATCTGAAACTCTACTTGAGACCATCGAATCTTATCAAGTACATGCAAAAATGAATGTACACACACATGCATACGCATATAGGCACACACTCTAAGCAACAATAACAAATTATTTAGCTACACAAATATAAGGACAGGTACGTGAATGCATACTTGATGCTACTGTTTCTTAGCCACAAGACTTTTCTGACATAAACGTACCTGTTTCATACTCCAGTGCTTGCAGAATCATCTCAACCTGGAAAATGAAAATCCAACAGTTTATATCAAAGAATAACTTTTTGGCAAAAGATGACCCTGTTAACATACAACAGACTAAATAAAAGGTGATTAAAATATACTTTGTCAAAATCTTTCACGAGATTAGCCTCAAGGGAAGCATTATCCTCATATTCTCGCCAGAGTTCTTGGATTTCTTCAGCTGTAGGTTATGAAAAGCATAAATGGTTCAGACCCGTTGGAGGAAACAAAATGAATATGCATCTAAGATAATGAGTAAACGGAAGTACCCCTCATCCCACCACCAAGAACGTTGCACATTTCCTTTAAAGCTGCTTGCTCAAGTCTACTCTTTTCTACTTTAGGTATGCCATCAGACGGTGTTATATCTCCCACGATAGCTATAAAAGTCAGATTACATCTTAAACTCCAATGCACAAACCAAAAGAGCATACTAGGAAATGTATAAGACGGGTAAACTAGTCTATAATGTCTTTAATTGTGGGCCATTTTGGCAAGAACACAATTATCTACAAATATGCAAAAACCGAAAGTAAGAGAAAGAACAAGGGGACTGTATATCCATATAAGCCCTCTAAATTCGTTCACAATTGAGTGCATTTGACTTTGTCAAAAGTGGCAAAAATTAGATGCATTCTATCCACCATTCTGCACACACTTAGGCCCCAACTTATAAAAGAGCTCATAGAAATATCAGAGTGAGTCACAAAGGTTAGAAAAGGGTGAACAAGCATACTCTCCAATTTAATAAAAACTATTAATCAACAAGTAGCGGAAAATGGAGAATCAATTATGTACCTTCTGCAATATCATGCACAATTGCAATCTTGATACACCTATTCAAATGAATACAGAAAAGGGTTGTAAGAGAAAACAAAAAGAATCCAATAAAGATAATTTTTGTGGAAAGGGGTTAGTGTAAATGACATCTACTAAACAAGAATTTTCCGTTTGTATGTTTTGATTTTTGGTTGCTTACTTCTAACTCATATTTCAAAATTTAGCTGTCTTTATTGTTTACAACTTCTTTTTTTTCCAATATTTTTCTTTAAGTTATTTTTTCGCAATTTTAATATGTATCCCTTTTTTCTATACACTGCATTAGCCACGGGTCTTCATGGAAATAGCCGCTCTATTCTTTGGGTGGAGGTCACGTCTGCTTACATCTCACCCTCCGGCATACCCCACCTTCGGGAGGGACATACTGGGTTTGTTTGGTATGGTTTAGGGTGAAAGGCATCTAGTTGTAATAATATATTAAGATACAGAAGCTAGCTCAGCTGCTAGTTACACAACGTTTCGTGATCATCAAACCAATCTACACTATATATCTTGAAGAATAATTTTGTTTTGTTAGTCCGCCACACAGATGATCAAGCCTCACGTACAGGATTTAAGCCTGAGATCAGAGCCTAATTTGTTAGCTCAACCATAATAGAGTACTGAACTGATGACATTTGAAAACTTGTGAAAGAAGGGAAGAAATAACCACCCAACAAAGTTTCCTCGTCCTGGTTTTATGTATTAGAAAAAGTTATAGAAGTAAAAATTGGGCAAAGAACAATGGCACAGATTTGCCTCTTTGCCAACCCCACCCAACACAATCCCAATCGGGTGCTTTAAAGCTACTGAAGTTGCTTCCATCCCAAGCTTCAGAATCAGCTAATCTCTTAGATGCTTCATGCATTACTGGCTTGGTGAAAAAATAAGATAAAAATGAAAAGCAATGTGAAAAACACTACTCTTCCATTTAAAAATTTAATTAATGATCAAAAATCCAACCGACTCTAGTACACTTAGTAGCAAGACCAAAACTACAAATTAGCAATAAGTAACTACATCGAACCTTTCCCTGTTAACACCAGGAAGATCACCAACGATTAAAGCCATCAATGCCATGCGATACATATGATCAGCAATGGACTCAGGACCCTTAATTCCATGATTGATCCATCCCTTCCTTTTTGTGGTCTACAATGGAGAGAAATCATATAAGTTCCATATAATTCACAAACTTTGCAAGGAGCATACAAACATAATTAAATGGGAAATATCTGAAGTGCTATTACAAGACGAAAGCCGAGTTTATTTTCAGCCTCTTTTCTGTTAATGAGCACACACAGCCACATATGTTCTGCATGCAAATAAGCAATGCAATAAGGTCCAAAACTCATAGATTGTTATTTGTTAATGCAGTTTACTACAAATATTGTGGTTGACTAAATGAACTCATTTCAAAGGCAGATGATCCAGCAACAACTTTAGTTTGAAGCAGCATTTCAGCTTTTATGAAATTTATTCAAGTAGTTGTAAGGTGTTTGATCTTGGTGAGGTATTTTCAAAATTTTATGCCCTTTCTAGGCATTCTAATAACATGATTCTTTGGTCCTCAAATTCCTCTTGTTAGATCTTAAAACATACCAAGCATTTTGGATTCTTTCAATTGCTCCATCAAGTAGTTCTTCAATCAACATTTTAGAGGAATGAAGCCTGATATAAGGTTCAGCCATTTTGATGCAAAAGTACCATTTAAGGATCTCAATGTAAAAGTAATAGCAAGAATTTTGACATTAGATGGATTTTGATGTAAGCCCTTTCTCTTAATAACTCATAGGATTTATTACTCTGTTGCCATTCTACTGTATCCAAGTATACAACTAAACACTGTTCCAAAAATAAATGCAGCCTATGACTCCACATATTGTTTAACAGAAGTGTTTGGTTACAAGCCGAATATCTAAACCCATCAATAATGTGGCTTTTATGATTTTCAACCCATGTTTCTTTCAGCCGGCACTTTGATACAAATTACAAAACAGAGGAAACTTAGGACTCAAAGACAACACTATCAATATCTTGTAGTGCTTAACAAGTGGCAAAAAGGCTGTAATGAATTGGGTTCCTTGCCAAAAAGAAAATATTGTATTCATTTTGGGACATCCCGAAATAGAAACTATTACATTTATTTATGGAGGAGTAATAATTTACATTCACAAAATAATGGACAAGCACGACTGAATTCCCGAAAACATCATTGAATTGTAAAGATCTCCAATGTAGTAGCCAAAACTTGAATTTCATATATCATAACGTAATAATTCTATAGCAAACCCACGTTTGAATCACCACATACATCACAGCTTATAATGCAAGATGACCACCAATGTCTCAATTCTTGGCTTTTAATTCTAGCATACAACTTATCCATATACTAATTCAGGTGGTTTATGCACTGCATGCGGTTCCCCGGTCCTAGAAAATTGATTTGCGTTGTTTAACATACATAAGCAAGTAAATCTTCCCATTTTTGAGCAAAGTCGATCCGCCCCTTTGCTAACCAAGCTATAAATCTTCCCATTTTAGATAAAAGGCTTGTTTTTGAAGAATGTTGGTTGTTCAATCTTAATTATGTTACCCCCAGCCTATCTCACCTTTCACCATTGCATTTTCTTGGAAATTTATTTGATTTTGTTGACAGATTTAAGCATGAGCATTTTCCAATATGCAATCGTAGGTTTCTTGTTGTTCTTGCATAATTTTCACAAAATCTATATAAATTTACATTCTCAAACTTTGGATAACACGCCGAATAAGTAAACAGGCTTCCCAACCATCATAGCACCCAAATTACAGCCACAAATGGCCGATCTCAAATAAATTAATCAGCGCAAAAGCAATCCATGCAAAGGATAAAAGAAGTTGATGGTGAATATTAAAAAAAAAAAGCAACAGAAAATCAATAATTCGAGTAAAGGGGCAGTATTGAATTTACGCAGATATAAATGCAATTGGGCGAAAGATGTACCTTAAGGCTATGGCACAAGGTGAGGAAATCGATGCTGGATGAGGAAGAAGATGTGGTTTCTGTAACATCAGAATTGAGCGCCGATCTTTTGGGTTCAAACTTGGGGATTTGACAACGAACAGATAGCAATTTACGATCATGGGAAGTAAAGGGTACTTTGAACAAACAAGGACGATGCAGGCGTTGAGGATTAGTGAGACAACGGTGAAGTGTCTGGGGAGAAGACGAAGAAGAAGAAGAAGAAGAAGGATTAGCTGCTGCCATTGATGAATAATTTGGTAAAATCTTGATTGAAAAGGGGGAAGGGGGTTTCTTGGAATACGATGAATATGCCTTTGGTGTGGCAAAAGGCGAAGCAGAAAGAAAGGAGGAGAGAGGAGGTCGTAATATTTGTAGTTATATCAAAGTTGTATGGTGGTCTTTAACGGCGAGACAATATAGGAGGACATAGGGGTCAATTTTCTTTCTTTCTTTTTTGTGGGCCAGGTTTAGGGTTTTTTTTACCTTTGATAAAATGTTATTTTCTTAATTCATTGTTTATCTATATTATATTATAAAATATTTAATAAAAAAATTTAAAAACCATTTTTTATACATAAAGTATTATATATTGATGTCTATTACTTAAAATTTTAAAATTACAAATAAATTGTGTATAAGTACAACTTATTAAAACTCCATATTTGAATTTGTGTAACTAACTGCAAATAAACATAATCAAATATTTGATAAACATCTCATTTTAAATATAAAAAATCTAAGATATAATTAGGATAATCATTGAGTTCTAACAAAATAATTAATCATTATCTTTATAAAAAAATTATGTTATTAAACCAAAAATAAAAAAATGAGTTAAAGAAATATACAAAAAATTGGGAACTTTTAAATAGTTAGTTTGATACTAATATCAATATTCTTTCTTTAATTTTTTTATGATATCTTCATATTTATATTTTATTCAAAAATAAAATCATTATGGTTTTCTCAAAACCACATAAAACCGTATTCGACTAAAAAAATGAAACATCAAAATCGAGATTTATCTCGTTGCATTGTGCGAGTACCATTCTAGTTATATTATAAAGCATTTGACAAAAACTCTTAAAAACCATTTTTATGCATAAAGTACTGTATATTGATGCATATTACTTAAAATTCAAGATTACAAGTAATTATGCATAAGTACAACTTATTAAATTTGAATTCGTGTAGCTAATTGCGGATAAATATAATCACATAGAGGATAAACATATTATTTTGAAATATAAAAAATCTAAAATATAATTAAGATAATTATCGAGTTCTAACAAAATAATTAATTATTATCTTTAGAAGAAAATTATGTTATTAAACCAAATATAAATTACTTTGTTATTGAACCTAAATTAAATTATAATAAAAAATTGAATTAAAAAGTACACAAAAAATAAGAATGTTAAATAATTAATTTGATATTGATATCGATATATTTTTGTCAAAATTTTATGATAAAAAATAAAAACATCATCGATTTTTCAAAATCACATAAGACCATACTATAACATCGACTAATATAAAAAATAAAATAAAATATTAAAATCAAGATGTATCTCGTTGCATTGCGCGAGTACCGTTCTAGTATTTATAAGTTCATTTTCTGGGTTTGTTCTTATTTTGAAATAAGATGAAGGGGAATGTCAGACGTAGGTATGGAAATGAGGCTCGTTCCATTGAAAAATCCGGTATATTTGTCCCAATAAGGTCTGGAATTTCTCTATAAAATCGGGAACCGAAGATAGGGAGGAATCCTCCAAAAGTTAAAAACTAGAAATGTGGACGGCGGTAATGTGGTCCTCGTGTCTGTCCTTGTATGTTAAATATGCTATATATTTATTATTGAATATATTATTTATATATTATTTATAAAGAATTATATTTAGACATTGTTTGACAAATGTAAGCTAACTTATTTTTTGGATACATGATTGGACGAACATAAATTAACTTATTGAAACACTATTTGAAGTAGTTTGTGAGGAGTTTTTTTATCACTTTTTCTAATTATCTCTCATTGATACTAATTATTATTTATTACTATTAATAATAAATATATATTAATCGTTAAATAAATATAAATAAAAATTAGTTATTACTAATATTAATTAATATTGGTTAAAAGTTATTTATTAATTTTAATTATGCATTATACATTAATACTAATTATTTAAAATTATTATTAATCATATCAATTATTTTTATGTTATTATCTTTTAATTATTATGTAATATATTTAGTTATTAAAAAGTAAATATAACAAGTTTAATAATGTTTATGTAAATTACATTCATAGATAATAAAATTGTGTTAAACGATTTTTGATAAAATATTTAATTTAATTGTTACTTATAGTTTATTGAAAAACTACTAACTAATTAGGATATATGAAGTTGACCAATTTTATTTTTATTCATATTATATGCAATAGTTATTTAAAATCATAAATTAATTTATATTTTTTCTAAAATTTGTTTTAACAAGTGCAAAATTTATAAATACACATAATAATCAGTTTAAAAATTCTTTAATTAACATATTGTATTAATTTTCTTTACTATATTGTTTGTATTAATATATTATATTATTAAATATTTGTTTTAGTTATATTATAAAATATTGTAATTGATTAATTTTTCACGAGGTCTTTTTTGGTCATTTTACATGTTTATCAGCTAGTTTTTTATCAAAAATGATTTGTTCAGCAGTTATTAGCTTATCAGCTAGTTTACCAAACATAACCTTAATATCTTTTAGATTTACAAAAATAGTATTTTGACTTTTCTTCTTATATATATTTTTTCTGAGTTATCTTATTTCCTTTAGATAAAAAGTGTTGAGAACCGAAAATGTTTGATCAAACAATTGCGTATGACGTGATTTTGTTCACATATGAATAGTTGATACTCAATAAAAGCAAACTTTTGAAAATATGTGAGATTTAAATATGGACCATTATCGATCGAGTGTGGTGTTTAACGCATCTGATTTAAAATATCTCACATAAACAGAGAAAAAAAATCCTTAATTCTCCATTAGGATCCCCATCCCTATTGGAGACAGTGATGGAGATGTAATTATATTCCTCAGTCTCCAGTGGGGACGAGGACGGGTACGAAGACTTGGATCAGGGACGTAGATGGGGATTGGGGTCCCAAATCTCATCCCATGCATAGGTATATACACTGCTATTTATGTTAAAATCAGTTTAAATTATGCATTATGAATATAAAAAATAAATGTTAATATTGAAGAATATCATGATAAAATTAATAAGTATATGCATTTAGCAATAATGAATTGCTATTAGCACCTGCTAATAGTATATGTTTAACTACCAACCTAGAACTTGAATCCCAATTAAAAATATCCAAAAAAACATTATTTATTATTTATTATTTGTGTTTTATTAATAATTTTATTACATATCCATATTATATTTATATCATGATTTTCATGTATATTATATTAATTCTTTTTTATTTTTTTTATAGAAAGAGAATATTACTATATATTACTTACATTATATTATAAATATATAGAGAGAGGGGGGAGATAACGTTTCAAATGCAACCTAACTTATTGTTATAATCATTGTAACTCAATTTCAACCGTCCTTTAATTTAGTGAATATGTGATTTCATAAAAATCTTGATTGTTTTTAATATAAAACATTGATCATAACTAATGAATTTTAATCATCCCCATAAATATCCAAATTATAATAAATAAACACTCATAATTTTTATAAATACTTCAATTGACTAAGTTGTATAGTTTGTAATAATTACATGGTTTATATTTAAAACCTCCTTTAGTTTTATTTGTTTTACCATATATATATATGTTAGGTTATGATATTTTATTATTTTAAAGTTATATATATTATTTACATTTATATATATATATATATATATATATGTTATATTATTTATATATGGGGAATATCTTTTGAGATCGTGTTAATTTGTAAGATCCTTGACATCCATCTTAGTAAAAAAAATTATATTTAATTAAAAGTTAACATAGAAACATTATAATTTTAGTAACTTTTACTAAATAATTTAAAGAGTAAATTATGGATTTGGTCCCTGTGGTTTGCTGTTATTTATGGGTTTGCTGATCCATAAATAGATGATCTTTATTATAGATCAGATCAAAGGCTAAGGTAAAATATTACATGCATAATACAACTTATGAAGAACAATGTTTTCCATCTTGCTTCAACGGCCTTTGCATTCATTTTCTCTTAAAGGGTACTTTTTCACCTCAATAAATTAGGTATTACCATCATACATCGAGTACAAGCTGGATCAACCCATCCAAGAAAGGGCCAATTGAATCCCTGAAAAAAAAATTGAAGATGAATTAGAGGTTAAATAATCTAAGAAAAACTTAGAGTTCGAGAATTTACATTTCGTGAACAACAGTAGAATCTGCGGCCCGGGTTTGTGTTCATCCAAGAAGTGCGCACGAGTGTACGTGCACCACATCACAACTAGTAATAAAAAATTTGATGAAGGATAATTTGCCACTATATTTCTACAAAAAGGTAGATATTTCGAATGATTTTATAGATGGATCATAGATATGTGTAAATATTACCCAATCATATTTGTGGGAGATTTTCTTTTGTTTCTGGTTATAAACATAGCAACGGGGGTGGGACGGGGGAAGAATGCAATAGTCGGCTCTGGGCCCAGTTCCACTGCCTCATCCCATCTCCGGCAGGTACAAGGAATCGACTTCCCTCTCTGCTTTTTGTTGGGGATATCTCCAATTCAATAAAAAAATGATTGCAAAAATAATACTCCCCATATGTATATCTATGGGAACGGAGTGAGTTGAAGAATACATTATCCAACACCATAAGCATTTACAATATAAGTTATTGAAATCAATCTGAACCACTTTTATTTTGAATATAATTTATACATTTACAACTTTATGGAACTAAAAATGAACAAATTTGTCAAACTAGAGGTCAAAATGCAACTTTCACAAACTTATCCACCAATCTAATACGTAACAATTTCGCGTTAGGAGTTAAAATGCAACTTTTATAGAACTTTTTAAGTTCTTCAAACCAAGATGTAACACATGTGATAGAAGTACGAAAAATGAAACTTTATTTCATAACATCTTGTGGTTAAATTGAAAATTTCTAAGATTGAACTAAAAGCCTTTTTGTTAATGAAATCTTTTGAACAAAACTTGCATCTGTTTTTTTACTTGTGATCATCTGTTTTTTTTAATCTGTCCAGATTCAAATAATCTAAATTC